GACTATGAATGAGGGTAGAAATCTTACGATCGGTTTCATGAGTGACATGTGCAAAGAAAGCTGCAATTTCCCTTTTAGCATCGTCGGCAGTGCCTGACTTTGAGAACTTAGAATAGGCCTTAAGAGCTTCAAGAAATGCTTCCCGGGTGTAGAAGTTCTTCCCCACACAGTTGGCACCTGCCTGACCCAAAATCCCGTTGAAGAATGCCTGGGTAACCACATCAGGCACTGAAACATGATTAGTGATGCAAGGGCCCTGCTTGCAGCCGGAGCCGGCTCCACAATAATCCTTACCAGTGCCACAGTAGCCCCACCGGCTGCAGCACTCGTTAGCTGCACAGCCACACTTTTGAGCCAGTACATTTCCCGGCATGGTTCCAGCGAGAATTGCAGTTAGGACAAGGAAGAGGGCACCCTTTCTCATATTCAGAGATTTCATTTTTGTAGAAAAAGGTTGGAATTAAGAATAAGAAAAGTGTACGATGGTGTGGGAAATATGCTTTGGCGTGAGGCTATATATAGTGGTTTTTTCCTTTAGTACTATTTTTTAAAAATCCTTTTACTTTATATTTGGCGTGCCGTGGAGAGGACTCAGAGGTGAGCGTATAGACTACGGGGATTGTGAGACTTTGACTCAAAGTCGTCCGCTCTATCGTTACCCTATTGAATTGCCTTAGTCTTGGGAAATGGGAGGTGGATTCATACAGCACCAAATTTTTAGACATGAATCGCACGTCATAATACTAGTAATAATAATCATGATTATATAACTTTACTAGATAAATTGGCGTTTTGCAGGATGTCGTTTTGGAATACATCTTAAAAAATATTATATTTTAATTAATATAAATTATTAAATTAAAAATTTTGTTAATATAAATTATATATGTTAAATTTTTTTATATAATTATATGTGTATATATAAATAATTATATGTTAAATTTAATTCAATTAATATGACTAATACATGTAAACTTGAAATTAATCATTAAGTTAAAGGTGATCGACTGAAATTCTTCACACACAAGTATAATTTATATCTCAATGAGATAAGTATTACATTTCTTGAGTCAATAAAAATATCCTATTCGTATGTCCTATAAATAATGAGTGTGGCCCTGGAAGATATTTTTAGTCTTTAGAAACAAAAAGATCATATGAACTAATATATAATATAGTACACATTACAATTTCATTTCGAATCCTGGAT